ATTAAATATTTTTTCCCATATTATTCTTCTTAATTCAATTATTTCTATATTTTTAAGTATATATAAGATTAAAGTTTCGTAGTTTTTTATCATTTCATCATGCATGTATGTAGTCATGTTCGTTGTTATGCAGGTTTTTTATTTTCAATTATTCCTTCCTATCATATTCATAATTGATTAAATTCATATTAGATCATTATGAACTAGATTATCTTAACAGTTTTTGTAACAAACACATAAAAAATTACAGTATATATATAAACATCCAAATATACAATTTATGTCAAATTAAATTCTGGAATACTTCTTTATATACTACATTTGTAGCTTGATTACTTATTTTTCCATCTTCATCGTAAGTTAGTATTTTTAATCCCTTTCTATTTGTCACTCTGGAAAGAGCAACTTAAAATTGTCCACGTGTAAACACTGGGTTCTTCAGAAATAAGCCCACATGAGATAAAGACAGTCCTTGACTCTTTTTTATTCTCATAGTAAATGATACAGTTTTTCTATGTTTCTAAATAATTTTAAAATCGTCTGAACATGATTTTTAAATTAACCAAAAAGAAATAAAAAAAGAGTAATAAACTACATAATTTATGTTTCTTTTTTTTTCTTCCTAAAATTAAAATTTTGTTATTGTTTTTTAATTTGAATTTTAAAATATCCTCTTAAGTAATACAGTTTAAATGTAAAAGGAAAATTGTTAACTACTACTACTACTACTACTAATAATAATAATAATAATAATAATAATAATGATGATGATGATGATGATCATAATAATAGTAATAATAATATGTATTTTAAAATTTTAAAATGGATAAATGCAAACTCACAAAAAGAGGATATAACTAAAATTAAATCACGTTTATTTACATCAGGAAATTTTTTATCTAAAAAATAAATTCATTTGTGTATAATTCAAAGGATAGGAAAATGCATTTTCCTTTTGATTTTGAAGGATGTAGAATTTTAAGCTAATTTAAAATTACAATATATAATTAATAAAATTATAAATTCATTTCACAAAACTAATTAGCATTGTATACAAAACTAATGCTGGTGTCATTGTTCGCCAGCGCAAGCCATGGCGCCGAAAGGACGGTGTCTTCATGTACTTTGAAGATAATGCTGGTGTGATTGTGAACCCCAAGGGAGAAATGAAAGGGTCTGCGATGAGTGGCCCAATTGGTAAAGAATGAATTGATCCAAAGCGCTCTCGTTCACTCTAAAACCCTCAAACATGACGGTACACATTTCGATCCATTTTAAACCTAATTTATTAGTAAGAAAATCAGTTGAATTTGATTGATAGTAGTTTGATTTTGTAGATTATATATGCAACTTCTAGTGAAATTAATTTTGTAGTTTCAGCAAAAATTATGTTGAATTTTGTAGTAATTGGATTTTTCAGTGAAAATAGTGGAATTTTATAGATTATATGCAGTTTGTGGTGAAATTGTGTAGTTTCAGCGAAAATAATTTAACCTTGTATATTTTATGCAATTTCTGAGTGAAAGCTTATAGTTTGAGTGGAAGTAAGTGGATTTTATGTAGTCCTAGAGCAACTTTATAGTTTGAGTTGTAGTGATTGGATTTTATAGATTTTTTCCAGCTTCTTAGTAAGTTTATAGTTTAAGTTGAAATAATTGGCTTAAAAATAAAACTTTCATTTTAAGTTTATTAAAGTAAAAGAAAATTTATCAACTTTTCTCTCTAATTTTTCATGCTATTAACCTTTCCCTCTAATTTTTCTACTACGATAAAATATTCCCTCCTATTAGTAATAAGAATTTTTTTCTAAAAAAAAAAACCCTACTCCTGCTTAAAGTCTAGAGTTATTTGTATATCGCCTCACGCCCTCAACACATTGCTCAAGCAAAGAAATTCATGGTAGCCATCTCCATCCACAAGTAATCCTAAGGTTTTTATTTCATACAAACTTATGATCTTACTGAAACAAACCTTTGATCAGGTTAACTAATTGAAAAAGTATTGACTTTCGGAACCATGTGAAGTTCAAGGTTTCACAATTTAGTTCTTAATTTATATTTTCTTGTAGGTTTTACTGGATTCATCTCATCCTACACATATTTTGATTCCCAAGTATTCAAACAATTGTGACGATTAGTGATTTTATTAAATCACTTTGGGCTCAGCAGAGGTTACTAGTGTGTCTCTTTAAGAGGATACTGGCGTCGCTTCTCTCAGAGTTACTGGATACTAGCGTCGTCTCTCTTAGCATTTGAATCTGTGAAGGAATTTGTGAACGAGGTACAGTAATTTCTCCTTCCTTTTAGGGTTTTAATTTCAATAATTTTGAGTGCGTAGGGTTTTAGTTTCAATCTTCATTGAGTTACTGTACTGTGAATGAATCTGTGAACAAGTTACTGTAATTTTTTTCTTTTCTAGTTTTAGCATGCTCATAATCGATTTTCCTTTCTAGTTTCATAATCGATTGTTTTCTGCTTGTGTTCAAATCGTAGGGTTCACTATTTTTTTGCTTCTTTTATGTTTAGGAATTTTATGTGATGGTTTTGATCTTTTGAACTTTGCTCTTTTTGTAGAGAAAAAAAATAGCAATTAAATTGGTCTGCATTGTTGAGTTTGTGGTTTAAAGAGTGACTCTAAACTCATGGCTTTGTTTCTTAAGAAATCATCACCAATGCTGCCTAGAAATCATATATACCTATGTTTCTGAAGCCTTACAAGACCTCATCAATGCCTTAAATTCCAACCAAGACTCTTTATTAGCACTAATAGTAATACAAACGTACTGGTTAAATTTTTGGATGCTCTACCATAAGCAGCCTTTGCATATTTGCTAGTTGAGAAAGTTGTAAGACTTGATCTTGTTATTGGAGAAGTAATAGATATGGAAAAGATAGCTCATTTAAAGGATATAATCAATGATGATGTGGTTATTAATGTAATGGTTCTTAATGAGTTCCCCTCCTCCTATACAAGCAAATTGACTACTACAGTTGATGGATGCACTGGAAAATTGTTAATAGATGCACCTTTTCTATTTGTTAATCGATTGTTTGCTGCAATAATTGGCTTGTTTGATTCGGTTTGGGGACTCATGTGATTGATTATTCCTCCCTTGATTGAGCATGACTTTCCTTAGAATCAATGGAGGGATGAAAAGCAAAGAAAGAAAAACCACTGGAGTTCAGAAAATGCTCTTCTCAACTTCTCTCTTTTCGTATTATTTTTAAAGCTTTCATGTTTTCTTTTGGTTCTGGATATTAATTTTCACGTGTTGTGATCTTGATGGCTACCGTTAGCATCAACATGTAAAGGGTTAAGGAAGCTAA